AATGTAGAACTGCAGCGGGTATCCGAGAGCCCACCAAGCATCCACACTTTGCACACGGGAAACCAGGACTAAAGCGATGATTTGCCCAAATTTAGACAAGTAAGGAGCCACACATCTGAAATCAGAGTGCAGGACTGCAGCCTCACAGCCCATCCTCTCCTCCAGATAATCACAAGCTGATTCAAGACGCAAGTCAAGAGTGGGAAGTTACGTCAGGAGAGAAAGCAGCTTCAATATCTTCAAAATGAATAATTCCCATAAAGCATAATGTCTTTATATTTACCATCCAGAAAGGAACCAGCTAGACATACTCAAACATCCTCACAACTCATTCTGATGAAGGTAAGTTTATATTCCTAGCAATGGAAACAATTTCCAGCTCACGATGGATGACCACAGAAGGGTCCTGCTGGTTCAGCAGGAAGGCAATTACGAGGTTTCTGGAGTTCTGGGGTCACACTGCCTGGCCACGAGCCCCGGATACTCCATTTAGGAATAAGCAGCCCCGGATACGTGATCCTCAGTCTCTCTGTGGGGCTCAGGAAAATGACAGGTCCTACTTCACAGGATCACATGAGCAGTAAAGGAGGCGACATGAGCAAAGCACTCAGAAGGGCCGGAAGAGGCTACGAACCACTGACTTCTCACTCAGACACAGCCTGCCTGGGGCTGGTGCTGTCCCCGGTGCTGAACACACGACCTTGACCCTGATGAGACAGGAGCTTCTGTGGAGGCTCAGAGACCACAGAGAAAGAAGACTCGTGGGCGCAGTCGGAGATGAGCAGAGTACCGAGCGGTGACAGCTGCTACGAAGAAACTGAAACTGGGCGACACGACAAACGTTTCAGGGTGAGAGTGATACGGGGATACTACAGAAGAGTGGTTGAGAAAGGCCTCTCTGACGAGGGGACACTGGCCGTGAGGCCACACGGCTCTTTAATCAGACACGGCCTCTGAAGCCACAGGGTCCTTGGTGACTCCTACGGGCTCAGCCCAGGGTCTCTACCCCCCCCAGTGCAGAATCGAGGAAAACCAGGCTGAAAGAGATCAGAGGGGACCTCACACCAACGCCTTCAGCCTCATTTTTATGATTTTTCTTAACACAGTAAGCACCACATTTGCCCACGGAGATCTTGCTAAACATCCATCACAATAGCCCCCACATCATCTCCATTTCAGAGATGCACATCTGACCTAGGGAAACGCATGACTCCCAGTGACCCTCCTCCCACTCAGGAGGAGGTGAGGACAGAAGCCAGGCCCTGTGCTGCTCAGGCCAGGCTCCAGCAGCTTCCGCAGGCACCTGGCTCTGGAGTGCATCCAACTGGGTCACAAGGCTTTCCCACTGCTCCCTTGGCCTCTCCTGTTCTAGGAGGACTCGCAGGACCAAGGTAATCGTGAGCTGGGCCACCGTGAGCTCTGTTCAACCCTGCTCACCAAAACAGACATGAGAGGGCTACCAAACTTGGGGCTCAGTCTGCTCCAGATACGCAGGAGAGGAAATGGTCTGAGGTCCCCTATAGTATGGGGTACACTGCTCGCCTACAGCCAACTTGAGTACAAAGAACTGCGGCATTCTTCAGTGCAACCTCACAGTCGGTGGCACTGATCAGGAAATGTCTCCCAGAGCTGCTCTTAGCTCCAGCTCCACACACCAAAAAGGGAAGCAAACAAATTAAAAATGCCACTGATGGCCTTGAGTTTGACCCCAAACAGCATTCTTCACCTACACCATATTTACCAGCCTCAAATTTCCAAAAATCAAATTCTCTAATAAAACTTAGACATCATTGAAGATACTAAGAAGACAGCACGGGTGCTGGTAAGAAGAGGTGGGGTCCCCACACTCTGCAGACACAACATCAGAGGTGTGCAGTCGCCCTGGGAAAGAGCAAGCAGCTTCTCACAAAATAAACAGCTGCTTACAGGACAGCCCGGCAGCAGCAAGAGAGGGCATGCAGCCAAGAGAAACACGGCCCCGTGTGCCCACAAAACCCTGTACATGGCTGCTTAACTCATAAAGCCATAACCGGAAAAAACCCTGACACCCTTCAGTAGGCGAATGGTTAAACACACGGGGGGGGGGGGGGGGGGGGGGGCGTCTGGCGCAAAGAGAAAAAAGCAACTGACGGACACGTGCAACTACTGGGGAATTAAGATTGAAGATTAAGCAACAGTGCACCCTCCCGGGAGCACAGCATCCTCGAAACAACAACATCCCTGAGATGGAGCACAGATCAGTGACTGCCAGGGGTTAAGAACAGGTGCAAGAAGGGCGGTGGCCATAGCTGCAGAAAGACAGCAGGGCGGACCCTGGGGACAGAGCCACTCAGCACCTCTGGCTACCTGAACCCACACATGCAATGAAATGGCAGAGGCCTAAATGTGCACATACAGGTGCACGCACAGCTGGTAGAATCTGCATAAGGTCAGCGACTCACCACCCCAACGTCCTGGCTGTCATACCGCACTGCAGTTACGTATGATGCCCTGGGGGGAACTGGGGACGGCACACGGACGGCCCCTCTGTTACTCCTGCAACTACACATGAATCTACAACCACAAAGCACAAAGCTCAAGGGGAAAAAGAGGGCACCACGATATGCTGGATAACAGGCTGGGCACAAGGCTCACGCCCGTAATCCCAAGACCAACAAGGCTGGATCACACACACACACACACACACACACACACACACACAGTACACATACGTATACACACATACATATATACAAGCACAAAATAGAATTCATGAAATGCTTTGAATAATGGCAGCAAAATCAGAATGCCAATCCAAGGTGAACTTGACTTTAAATTTGTCTCTCTTTAAATCAACAGTTACTGTCACACGTGTGTATTGTGTGATGTGACCCAACATTTTAATCTAATATTCAGCTCCCTGCAACATGTATGCCCGCCTCCCCGGATGGAATACAGGACAGAGGAGCTGTACACGACAGGAAGCTGGACAAAGTCTGCAGCCCCCCACCCCAAAAGGCCCAAAAAGTCTGCAGCCCCTGACCCCAGTACACCCCAAAAGTCTGCAGTTCCCCACCCCAGTATGCCCCAAAAGTCTGCAGTTCCCCACCCCAGTATGCCCCAAAAGTCTGCAGTTCCCCACCCCAGTATGCCCCAAAAGTCTGCAGCCCCCCACCCCAGTAGGCCCCAAAAGTCTGCAGCCCCCCACCCCAGTAGGCCCAAAGTCCCTTTTCTGAGCACACTTGTCTCTGCACCCACCAGTGGGTCTGAGAGCTTCTGCGTGTGTCGGCCCTTCCTCAAAGTGACCCCTGACCTGCCCTGAGTCTCACTCCTCTGCGCCCCCAGTGCTGGTGTGCCTCCTGCAACATGAGTGCATGCATGCATATACACATGTACACACACACACACACACGCATAGGTGCACACACGTGCACGTGTGTACACACATATACACGTATAGGTGCACTCACGTGCATGTGTGCACACACATAATGCACACGTACAGGTGCACACACGTATACACACGTACAAGTGCATGCATGTGCACGTGTGCAAACAAGGAAAAGTTCACATGCACAAATGTGCTTGCATGTATATGCACACACACCTATGAATGCACATGCATACTTGCAAAAATGCATGTGTACACACATACATGAATGCACACAAAGCCGTGCAAATGTCTGTTTGCCGGGAGTGTGGCACTCTGATAGGTACTGTGTGATTTGCAGAGATTCTGCACCAGGCAGCTGAGGGACAGCATCAAGGTGATCATCCCTGAGGACTTTCTGATTCTCCATCTCCTCCCCTTATTCTGCAAGATGGGCTATGATTGTGATACTCAGAGCACCTCTTTGAGAAGAAATGTCTATGACCTGTGGGAAACACAGCAATTATTGAAATAAATCCAGCACAATTGACATGCAAAAGGCACTCTGGAGGCTCTCTGCTGCTTCATGGCCCACACCTGATGACAGAAGCTTGAACCAGTCCCCAGTCCCAATTCCAAACAGCCCCTCCTAAGTGAAGCCTTTCTCTAGTAATTAACTGCTGCTCCCTCTGGAGGCACATGGTTCATAATGATGTCAGAGTGTGCCAGTCACAGCCTGCCCCTCGGTTAGTTGTTTATACTCTGAGTCTCCTCCAGAGATCATGTCTCCTTGAGGTCAGGTCCCCTGACTTGCCACCTTGGTGTCTCTGGAGGTGAGTGCAGCAGGTGCTTCATAAGTATCTGTGAGGTGAAATCTACTTAATTGGTGGAGCTGACTAAGACAGAACTGGTTACACAGAGGAGTCTCTTCCCTGCAGACACAGGTACATGCACAGAACACAGTGGTTACTGTATTAAGTACATCAACAATTACTGTTACTGTAAATACCCACTAGGTACCCCCTACAATACCTTCTAGAAAAAATGGATTCTTAATTTTGCCAAGGCTGAGCCAGCACTGCTATGCAGAAGGCCCTGGAAATAGAGAGCGGTGGATGCAGCAAATCCTCTGGCTACACCGAGGCACAGGGCCAGGGAGCCCCCCACCTCTCTGTACCTTGACACTTTATGGCTGATGGGTGAGCTTGGGGACCCAGCCAGACATGTACACAACATGCTTACACTTAGCTTAAAGGAGGAAGAAATTATAATCCTTCAACCTGAAGTGACAAATAATTTATGCACAAGTGCTGAATAAAAGCATATCTGCAAAGTTGAGAAGCAATGTGAGCTCCAGTGCTGTGCAGTGCCTGACTGTTACCCCACGCCCGGGAGCCATGGGCAACACTCACATGAGACAAAGAGGAGAAAGAACTGGGCACTCCCGCACCACACCTGCGGGTGGGCTTCTGTACGTGGGGTGACCTAGGAAGCACTGGGACTGAAGTATAATCAATACCTAGCAGCTTTTTAAAAGGAAGGAGCATCTGAAAAGTGTGTGAGAAGCTTCTGCAATATGAATGTGCACAAGTTCCAGCACCTGCCCGAGCTTCGGGCTTGTTCTGGGCAAATAAAATATGCAAAATCCTACCAGGCCATGTTGCCATGGGCTGTGTTGTCAAGGTGACAGAGCAGCTCCAGTGTCTGCGCCGTGCTCGATGAATCATCAGGGGACTCGTGGCTGCCTGATTCCAATTCCTTCGGCATCCTCCACACGGCTGCACATGTCAGGACTTTACTGTCTGAAGCTGAGCAACAGAGGATAATGTCAACAGAGCACGGTGTGCAGCCCCAGCCTGCAGACAGCACACCAGCACTCACACGGACCCACAAGCAGGGCACAGCTGCTCTGTAAAATATTTAAAATCGTAGGCAGCCAACACAGAGCAGAGGGAAGCACAGCCCAGAGTCAGCAAGCAGAACAAGGCCCAGCTCATAATTAGCATCCAGCTGACCCACTTGCTCCTTGTTTCAAAAACCATCATTCTGTTTCAGAAGGAAATCTAATTTCCTCAAAATCGATTTCCTTCCGTTCTTCTTCAACAGTTCTTCAAAAAAGGAGCAAAATGGGGGACTAGAGATATAATCGCCACCCCCACAGCTTGAGTCTTAGGCTGGCATAACGGGGCCCTTTCCTCGGCTTTGAAGGATCATCTTCAACGGGTATTGAGCACGCCGAGAAATAGCCCATTTCAAAATACTGTCATTAGTGTTACTCGAACTCATTTTACCCAAAGGGATGAGTGTCTGTGACCAGAGGTGCAGCAGGCTGAGGGCCACCACGCCTGGCAGGTGACAGGATCACCCACCCTGCCAACAGGGTGTGGCTTCCCAGAGACACTGGCCGTCCTCACTGACTTGCTGCCTAGTCTGTCCCCCCTGGATTCATTGGTCATCCTCACTGTCCTCCTGCTCAGTCTGTCCTCCCAGAGACACTGGCCATCCTCACTGTCCTGCTGCCCAGTCTGTCCTCCCGGAGACACTGGCCATCCTCACTGTCCTGCTGCCTAGTCTGTCCCCCCCAGAGACACTGGCCATCCTCACTGTCCTGCTGCTCAGTATGTCCCCCCCGGAGACACTGGCCGCCCTCACTGTCCTGCTGCTCAGTCTGCCCTCCCGGAGACACTGGCCGTCCTCACTGTCCTGCTGCTCAGTATGTCCTCCCAGAGACACTGGCC